AAAGTCAACATAAGTAATTGTATCTCCTGTCAACCATGTTGATCTTTCTAAAGTAGTATTAAAGACTCTGAAGAATTCTCCAGTCTCTTGCAACATTGCTTCTTTTTTGGCTTCAGCTGTTTCTTTGTTTCCATATGTCCAACCATAAAATGAAGCCTTTAAATCGGCTATGACTCCTCTAATAGTTGCTACCATTGTCTATTATTTAGCATCTTTGCCAAGTAATTCTGGTTTATTAGCTTTGTGAGCTACATAATAATAGATGGCATCTGACTCGAAAACAGTCTAAGAATAATATAATTAAATACATGATCTCCATCTTTAAGATATGGAAGATTTGTAAATTGACTATTGAATGTTTAATCATCTTTTCCAAACCATTCTTATGGATCTGTATATCTCTTATCTTCATAAGGAAGTTCAATATATTCAAGGAAGGCTCTTATTGGTTAAGCTAAACCTCTAATGGCCCAATATCCAAGAACAACTTTGTTATCCATTTATTTTTAATTAAACAATTGTATTGATATTCAGCCACGATATAAATCAAAAATTAATACGTAATTCTGATTAATTCAGACAAATAATAGAATCTGGATATGTTATTTTTATAGTTTTGAGATTATAAAATGTAAATAAAATAATTTTTTTAACAATAAGATTTCTAAATTTAATAAAAGTTTAGAAAGATTATAGTTTGAATATTAATATTCTTTAATAACATGTATTGTAAATAATAACTGATAAATTTTTATTTTTTTAATTATTTCTTTTATTCTATTCTTTTATAAAGATGAAGTTATTATCAATTTAATACAATATATCTTCCTGTCTCAAATTCTTATTAACTTATTATATAAATTTATATATTCTTGATTTGATATTTATTAATAAATGAATAAATAATTCCATAAAACTTCGCCTCCTGAAATATTTCTTACTATTTAAACTAAATAAGCATAACAAGAAGATTCAATTGATCAAATTAAATAAGTTCGATCAGTTAGTTTGGAAAAAGAGCTGGCTTAATTGAATGATGAATAAGAAACTTATGATATGATAAATGAAATTGAATATAAAATGCTGAATTTTAGATCAGATTTAAGAAGGGAAAGAGCAGAAATAGAATCAACTAAATCATAATAGAAATTGTTAGAGATTGTTGCTTAATCTAAAATTAAGTAACTAGAGACATCTTTAAAATTCTCTGTGGAAGCTTTAGAAAATAAGTTTATCAGAGAATAGGGCACAACTAATGGATATGTAGAATACATTTAATAATCAATAAGTTAATAAAAAAAAGAAGATGCTTCAATTAGTCACTATATAAAATTACTTGAAAAAAGAGTGGCATCTTTAGAATTTGAATTGGGAATTGAAAATGTAAATAATTAATAAGCATAATGAGAAGTGTTCATAATAACGGATTCTTACTTGATTGAATTGCTGATATATATATTGATAAAAATTAAAATGTAAATCGAGTTTGATTAATACTTGTCTTTGTTAAAAAATTTGGATCAAGAAAAAGATAAGAAGATTAGAAATTTATATTCTTAATTAGAAATCAATTAATCAGAAATATCCAAGTGGAATGAATCACAGAGCAAACTATTGAAGTCTTTAATACAAATCTATTGTACTAATTAAAACATAACCTATATTCATGTACCTGATAATGTTTGGAATATAGTATCAAAATTGCTTAATAAATCTGTTATGGATTGCAAATAACAATTAGAAAACTCAAAAAAATTTATATTTCATTAACAATCATGGACCAAAAGTGAAGATGAAGTCTTAAAAGAAATTTGTAATTAATATTTATCAGAAAATAAGCCATTCAAGTGGAATGAGATAGCAAAAGAATTGTCCTAAAAATGCAACAAATCTACAATAAAGTTGACCAAATATGTAAGAGATAGATGGATTAATTAATTAAATCCCTAAATATAAAAAGGTCCTTGGGGCGCAATCGAAGAATTTAAATTAATGAAAACAATCTTAAAGCACGGAAAAAATTGGTAAATGATTGCTTCTGAAATGAAAAACCATAGAACAGAGAGTTCTATAAAAAATAGATACTTTAAAATTTTAAAAAAGCTTGAATTAAAAGAGGTTTAATTATTAAATAAATAATAAATTGAGAATGAACTTTAAACATTTAACTTAAGTTAATTTTTTGGAATTTAATAGTTAGGTTAACAAGAAATTAGTTTAATTTTGTTCTATTTAAATGAACTTAATTAAAAACTATAAAAATCATAAAATAATTAGTATATAGATCAAGAAGAAAATGATTAATAAAAACTAGAAATTCAAGTTGATATAAATAATACTCAAAAGAGGAAGTTAAAACCATCACAGAAATCTAATAATTCTCATGCTACCAATATATTATAAAAAGTGTTAGAATAATATTAATAAGATTAATGTTTAGATTATAATAAAATTAAGGATCATTTTTAAGATATTGTTGCTTAAAAAGGAGAAACTTTAGAATTAGATGAGGAACCACTTAGTAATTCAGATAATTTATCTGAAGTCCAATTTGCAATTATAAATAAGGATTCATAAAATCTACAAGTATTTCCTAAAACTCAACTTAAAGCAGTAATGGAAGTAATCAAGTAAAAAAAAGAGATTAAAAAGGATAGTAAAAAAGAACAAAAAAGAATTAAATAATAAGTTCATTTAGATGGACAGCATATGGTAAACTAAAAATAATAGTTAAAATAAAAATAATAAATACCTCAATAAATTTAATAATAATAGGCAATTTAACCATCATTAATAAAGAATGTTAAGGATTAATAAATAAATTCATACTAAAATATGAATTAATAATAATAATAATAATAACAATAATAATAATAATAATAATAATAATAATAATAATAATAATAATAATAATAATAATAATAATAATAATAATAATAATAATAATAATAATAATAATAATAATAATAATAATAATAATAATAATAATAATAATAATAATAATAATAATAATAATAATAATAATAATAATAATAATAATAATAATAATAATAATAATAATAATAATAATAATAATAATAATAATAATAATAATAATAATAATAATAATAATAATAATAATAATAATAATAATAATAATAATAATAATAATAATAATAATAATAATAATAATAATAATAATAATAATAATAATAATAATAATAATAATAATAATAATAATAATAATAATAATAATAATAATAATAATAATAATAATAATAATAATAATAATAATAATAATAATAATAATAATAATAATAATAATAATAATAATAATAATAATAATAATAATAATAATAATAATAATAATAATAATAATAATAATAATAATAATAATAATAATAATAATAATAATAATAATAATAATAATAATAATAATAATAATAATAATAATAATAATAATAATAATAATAATAATAATAATAATAATAATAATAATAATAATAATAATAATAATAATAATAATAATAATAATAATAATAATAATAATAATAATAATAATAATAATAATAATAATAATAATAATAATAATAACCCTTCTATCAATATCTATATCCAAATTATTTATATCCCTAAATGCAAATGTCTTCAATGAATTAAATGCCTATGATGGGATCTTAAGTTATGGGACAATTACCAGGATAAATGATTGGGCCTATGCCAGGATAGATGATGATTTAAATGCCTCAATAATTAAGTAATTAAATTTAAGGATAAACACCAAGTTAAAATATTTAGTTGATTTCTGCACATCCAAGTTAGATGTAATAAGTTTTATTACCTTTAAATTAATAAATACCAGAGTAATTCCAAAATTTAGTATAATATTAAAGTCCGAACATTCAAAATAATTAACAATTAAAGCAGCATTAGGTTGAACAGAGTTAGTTGAATTAGATGTAAATGCAATAAGTCCCCCTTGCGGGAATGGGCTAATAATATATTCCCTTCATGTATCATATAATAAAAATTTATTAGGTACCATCCATAAGTTCTTTATCCATAATAACAGTTATAATAGATGAATCAGTAAGGTTCTCAACCTATTGCGAAGGATATGTTTTAGTAGACATCCTAATAATAGATGATTCAAATGAATAATTCCTTGCCTATGATGCATTAGTTTGGTGATCAATATTTTCAGTTTATGAATATGAACTAAAGTAATTAGTAGATGTAGCAAAATTACTCTCATGTTAAGCAAGAGATGGAGGATTAAAAATAAAAAAAAAATAAATGATTTAATTATAATATTGTGCTTAATCTTATAATATTCATAACTTATTATAATTATTAGGTTGATATCCAGAATAATAATTTGTATGAGCCTCAAGAATTAATTAAATATTAGTGATATTATAATTTACAAAATATTTAATATAATTTTATTAAATAATTTATAATAAGATATACAATAATATATCACTAAATCTCAATATTCATAATAAGTCTTAGATGAATATATTATTAAGGAATTTAAATAATTTATAATTTTTGTTAACTTAGAATGAAATGTCATGATAATAAACCAGCTTCATAATCTTATTAATTTCTCGATAAATTAGGAGAGGGGTATTTTTATCACATTGAAATAATTAGTTCCTTTGGATTTATATGGAAGGTCAAACAAATACAAACTGGTCAAATATATGCTTGTAAATTAGTCAAGAATTCGATGAAGAAGGAAAAAACTTTACTTTAAAGAGAAGTAAAGATCCTGCATTTATTAAAAGGGAAAAAAGGTATGAAATAAATGAAAATAGGTTTTACTCAAATAATAACATCAGGTTAGGATCATAAAAATACCTATTTTATAATGAATTTACTTGGAGATAATTTAGAATAAGTGAGAACAAAATATGGGAATTTTAATACTACTACTATATTAAATACAGGTTAATAGATGATTATGTTACTTAAAGAGCTACATAATACTAACATTATTCATAGAGATATAAAGCCAGAAAATTTTGTAGTTCATTAAGAGAAAGTACATCTAATTGATTTTGGACTATCAAAACTATATATTCAAGATGGAAAACATTTAGAATTCAGAGAAAATAAAGGTATGATAGGAACAGCTCGTTATGCTTCAATAAACTCATTAAAAGGAAATGAATAATCAAGGAGAGACGATCTTGAATCTGTAGGTTATTTGTTAATTTATTTATATATGGGAACTCTACCATGGAATAATATCACAGCTGAAGATAAGAAGATTAAATATTATAAGATTTAAAGAATGAAAGAGACATTTAAACCAGAGACTTGTATAAATTTACCCCCTGAACTTACAAAATATATGGAATATGTTAAACGTTTGAAGTTTGACTAAAAACCTGATTATGAATACTTGGAAAACTTGTTCAAAAGAGGAGAAGATTTTACTCGAAGTCCTAAACTGTAAATTTAATAAAGCCAGTTATAAATTAAATCAAATTTATTGCATTTAAAAAGTATTGATATGAACCAATGTTTGACATCTAGAAAATCATTACATTAATAAGAAAACACAAGTAGAAGAATTACATTAGAAGATTTAAGTTCGACAGGAGCTGACATTATAGAAGAATTAGATAAAGATGAAGGTATACAATTAAAGAACTTATCAGTTGGCATAAAATAACCACAAGGAATAAATTTAATAAATAAATTGAGAACAGGATCAGATTAGATTTATGAAATCGAGGATAAGCTAAAGACTAATTTATTACCTATTTCCTTAAAATAATTATAATGATATCTTTTGCAATTTATGTAATAATTTATTTACTATAAAATTCTGTATATATTTTAATGAATTCATGTATCATAAATATTGGAGTCTATTAAATCCTTCTAAATCGTGTGATTGGTTAAGGATGGCATTCAATTATATATCAATGTATGAATACCCAATAAATCTAAAAATAATTAGTTGCCAAAATCTATAAAAATAAAAAAATTCCTGATGATGGTGAAATTCTTAAACTAAAACAATTAAATCATCCTAATATTGTGTAAATTTATGATGTATATGAAAATGAAAAGGATGTTATTGTTATTATGGAAAAATGTTAATCATCTTTAAAGAATGAATTGAAATTAAAAAAGGAATATGCTGAAATAGAGTTATTGTGCTTTTTAAGTTAAATTTTAAAAGGCTATAATTATTTAAAGAATTAAGGATTAGAAATAAATGAATTGAAACCCAGTAATATTATGATAGATGATAATGAAATGATTAAAGTATACTAATATTCTATTTGAAAAGCTTTCAAATTATGGTATGAAATATCTCTATAACTATTCTGTTGTGGACATTAGACCTTATGCTGCCCCAGAAGTTTTCTTTAGCAATCTGTAAACTGATGCCAAAAATATATATTCTGTAATAATGTGTTAAGATATTATTTAGTTAGGTTTGATTATGTATTAACTTATATTTCAACAATTACCATTCTCTTTAAAGTAGAATGGTGATGTAATTGTATTTTTATAGAAAATTAAAAAAACTAAGCTTTCAATTCCTAAAAATGTAAAAATCATTTTTATTTTAGAAATTCTAAAAGCTAACCGATATGATTACAGAAATGATTGTCTATGATCATGAAGTAAGGATAGATATAGAAAAATTGGGAAATATATTATTTTAGAATTTTAAGAGAGGAAGTAGAAGAATCTCTAGTATTTAACCAATAGCTGCTAAAGCAGATGACTATTTATACTTCTGATTTTTTTAATAAATTTTTATTAATTTATTAGATTTAAAAAAAAATGGCATCTCAAAATAATCATATTTAAAAAGGCAATTACATTATAGATTTTGAAAGGGATCTTATTGCTTAAGGAAAAAAAGGACCCATACTAAGATGTAGACGTAAAGATTGCGATTAATACTTTTGTGTGAAAGTGATTAACAAATCATAGAATAAAGCATATTATCAAAGTGAAATAGATGCTTTATTCAAACTTAGATAGGTGTCTGAAAAGAATCCAAATGTCTTAAGGATTTATGATATTATAGAGGAGAATGATAAATTTTATGTTTTTACAGATTTCTGTATTTCTACTTTTGAAAAATATTTGGAATAACGATGGAATACCATTACTATGAATTCAGATGAAATCAATGATTTTCTGGGTCAAATAGTAAGAGGATATTAGTAATTAAGAAAGCTGAAAATTAGTGTGAGAGATTTTACACCAAAAACAATTTTAGTTTAGAAATTATTAAATGATAGAATTGTGTTAAAAGTAAATCTTAAACTTTAAATAGATAACTGACTACAGTATTAATTATTAAATTGATGCCGGAATAGCAGATGCTTTAACCCGTACTCCATATTATAAGGCACCAGAATTGTTCTTAGCAAATTTAGACAAAATTAAATCATTTGAGTCTTGTGACATTTATTCGGTAAGATTTAATAAATATTATTCAAAAAGCTTGGAGTAATTCTATATATGATGTGTTTCAAAGGAGAAAATTTAATGAAGTTTGAGAATTTCAATGATCTATTGAAATTTCATGAAGAACTGAGGGTCAAAAGAGCCTTTTAATTACCAAAAAATACTTTTTGTTAGTAAGAATTAGCCTAATTATTATCATAAATGATTGTTTATAATCCAGAAGATAGAATATAATGGGATTAATTGGAATCGAAGTTACCTCCAAAATTTCTCATCTTAAAAGAAATATTTTTTGTGGATTTTAAATAAACTCTTGGTTAAGGAGCTTAAGGAGTGACTCATATTACATATGATTTAACCAATAATGAATAATTGGTTTGCAAAGTCATTTAAAACAAAAATTTAGGAACTTCTAGAGAAATATAAATATTCGAATAAATCAAAGGGAAAAATAATGAAAATGTGATCAAAATTTTTGATTTAATAAAATAAACACAATATACTTACCTAATTATGGAAAAATGTGACATCAGTATGCAAAGTTATTTAGAATAAAAATAATAATTTAAAATTTAATTAGATTAAAAAGAAATCATAGATATATTATACTAAATTGTTGAAGGCTATTGTTTTTTAAAATAAATAGGAGTAATTCACAGAGATCTAAAACCAGATAATATTCTATTTAAAAAGAATAAATATGGGAGAAATATTGTTAAAGTATTTTAATCAACTTCAATTAGATTATAGATTTTGGAGTTGGTAAGATTATAGGAAAAGATTACACAAGAACTGAGGCAGGAACACCATTATATGCTGCTCCTGAAGTATTAGAACAAGGGAAACCTTATAATTATTAATGTGATATTTATTCAGTACTCTATTTATTTAAGCTTTAGTTAGGAGTTATTCTCTTTAATTTAGCATTTCTAAAAATGTTTAAAGATATTCGAAGTAGAACAGACCTGACTGATTTTCATAAAGCCTTAGCAATTAAACCATTTGAATGTCCAAATCATTAAGTATATTATTTAGTTGAGTTTAGAATCCATTAATCACAGATCTCATTAAAAAAATGATTGTATATGATCCAAATTAAAGAATTACTTGGGAATAATTGTAAGCTCATAGTATATTTGATGAAGTGAGATAATCCTAACTATCTCAATCCCAATAAATGAATTTAGGTGGAAACATCACAGAGATATATTAATACATTTACTCTCTTTATTTATTGGCATTAAAATTATTTACCTAATGTGAAGAATGTTAAAAAGAAAAATTATAATTCTATGATGAATTACTCTTATTTTAATTGTTTATTATAAGATTCTAATTAACTTGTATGAATTGCCTTCGTTAACTTAGTTACGATGAGGTTATTAATTTATCTGGAATAGATTTTAGAATAACATAAAAGAAAAACTATTCTCTTTGGTTAGATGAAATTTAATTTAAAAAATTGTTTTCCTCAGACTTGGAAAAGTATAGTTCTTTGATAAAAACAAAACCTAAGAATTAAACCTAGATTGTGATGATGGGATAAGAAATTTTAAAAAATCAAAAAAATAGTGTTTAAGATGAAAATCAAAATATCAATTTTTTTAGTAGTCATTAATTCTTCAATCAATTTTACTCATTAATAAGAGCTCTAATTTTAAAGTCTAATCTCCCAATAAAATTTAAATATTACATACAAAAATTTTCAGATGTTTTTATAGAATACCCCATATAGAATTTCAATTAATATTCACAAACAAAATTATCTTTAAAGATATGCCAATTAGATTAGATGGATTAATATATTGAGAATCAACTAAAATTAAATTTATGATTTGAATTTTTACAATAAAATAATTTTTTTTATTCCCATCATTAATATTATTTTATTATTATTAATTAAAAACTATCCAATTATTATGTAAAAGAGTCATCCCTCATAATTATCAATAAATAGATTAACAAATTCTTTATTAGAATGTATATTGAAAGAGCAGCATGGTAGCATAAAATTTGATATAATAAAGAAATTTTAAGAAAATATCAATAATAATGAAATACATTAATTTATTATTTAACTCTGGTAATATTGATTATAATATATTAGTTATATTTATTATGTAACAGGTAACAATCATCTTGAAGAATTTTTAAAAAAGTATGGTTTGATGAATTCTTCAAATTATTATAGATTAGAATGGACTTTAAAGGCATTAAGTGAGGATTCCAAATATTACCCCATATAAGATTATTTCACTAAATTCTAAACAGTAATCAATGGAGTAATTTTAGCTTATGAAACATGAATATGTAAACAAAGGATTAACATCTACTAATAGCAGAGAAGATTATTTTCAGGATAGTAATGAATATATATAAATTATATATTTAGTGTATTTAATTAAAGAAGCTAGAGCAAATTATTAAGATAGATAAGATCAATTAATTTTTAACTTAATTGAATAGAGTTTAAGACTTAAAAGTATAGAGATAGAAGAAAGAAAGGAATAAATGATAGCTTTTTTAAAAAAGATTAATCAAAATATAAATTATTTATGGTAAATAACTTCATAAGGTGGCATAACAATACCATTCAATTATGGATTAATAGATTCATATTTAGTAGTTCATATTCTTGAAGATGAGTTTACTTGTTTCAATACTGCAAAAAGAGTACCTTACAAAATAATTGTAGAAACTATTGAGTAATAATATAAATAATTTACATAGTCCATCTGAAATAGAACTTATAAAGAAAGCATAAGAAATCTATTAAAGTAGTAATGATATTTAAGAATTAAATCCATTTTATGATATTGAGAAAGAAATGAGAAGCATAGCCCAATTAAAGATACTCTAATAATATGACATTGATGAATTAAAAAAGTATTGTATCAGGATATATGAGATTGGCATTAAAAAAAGTAGAATTTCATTTAAATTCTGAAAACTAAAAAATAAAGAAGAAGCCACGAGATAAAGATATTTATGCATCATCAACTAATTGTAATTCAATTTGGGGAGAAGATTGGAATGAGACTTAGTCTAGAATTCGTAAGTAATCTTAATTTGGATAACTTAAAACTTATCAAATAAGATAAATTATTGTTAAAGGAGGTGATGATTTAAGGAATGAATTATTAATCATGTAAATGATAAAGAAAATAAAAGAAATTTTTGAAAAACATAAATTAGATATCTTTTTAAGACCTTATGATATAATTTTAACATCACCAAATAGTGGTATATTAGAATTTATACCAAATACTGTTTCAATTGATAAAATTAAGAGAGATTACTAAGGTTACACTTTAAAATAATTTTATGAGAATTTTTTTGATTGCTTTATTGATGCTTAGATGAATTTCTTGTAAAGTCTTGCAGGTTATTCTTTAATTTGTTATCTTTTTTAATTGAAGGATAGACATAATGGAAATATTTTGATAGATAATTAAGGACATATTATACATATTGATTTTGGGTTTGTTTTAACTTTAACACCAGGAAATTTAGGTTTTGAATCTGCCCCATTTAAATTAATTGAAGAATATGAAGAGCTTTTAGATGGGAAAGGTAGTTATTTTCATAATTATTTTTAAACTTTAATATTTAAAGGTATATAATAATTATTTAATTTTTTAGGTTTAATGGCATTGTAAACAGAAATTGATGAAATAATGAATTTTGTTAAGATTATGAACTTCAGTCCTAAACATAATCTATTAGTAAGTTTGGAGAAATTTAAAATTGAAGATTTCAGAAAGAGATTTATGGAAAAATGCTCTACAGATTAATTATATGAATATGTATAGAATCTTGTATAAGAATCCAGTAATTCATGGACCACGACTCTCTATGATTATTTTTAGTTTAAGACCAACTCTATATATTATTGATACTAATTATTAAAATATGAAATAACCTGAATATAAATGTACAGAAAAACTATGGAAACCTATAGTTAGACCTCCAAGACATAATTACCGTTTAAAAGATATGGGCAATGAAATATTTATGGTTCATGATACTGTAGTTAAACGAGTAGACTTTGAAATGATAAATAGTCGCGGACTAACTCTTCAGTGCAGGTAATTTCAATGAAATTGCTTAGTTTATTTGAGCCTGTTAGAATTCAAGATAAGACTCATTCCTGTATGATTTATTTGCATGGGAACTCAAGCAGTAGAGTAGAATCTCTAACAATAATAGAATATTTACTTCCTTAAAACATTTCAGTTTGTGGAATTGATTTGTCAGGTAATCATATTATAAATCTTAGGTTCTGGTTAATCTTAAGGAGAATATATTTCATTAGGATTCTATGAATCAAGAGATGTAAATGATCTCTATAATTATTTACGTTTAAATAAAGTAAGTTAACTTCATTATTAAAAGTTGCTTAGCCATTTATCACTTAAATCGGTTTGTGGGGTAGATCTATGGGTTCAGTGACAGCTATAATAGCTGCTAGTTTGAATTCTAATTTCAAAATACTTGTTTGTGATAGTCCCTTTTCAAATTTGACTAATTTATGTTAGGAATTGGCTTCTAATACTTATAGTATCCCAGGATGCTGTTTCAATTGCTTTTGGTGTTTCGTTAAATCTAAAATAAGAAAGGAAGCTAAATTTAATATTGATGATCTTAATATCATTCAAATAATACAAAGTTTTTAAATAGAATTATTCTTTAGCTTTACCAACTGATGTTGCTATTGTCTTTCTATCAGCTAATGGTGATACCCTCATTAGAGAAAAACACCCTAAAGCTTTATCAGAGAAATTTAGAGGAATTAAGGAATTCTTTTAGTTTGAAGGTACTCACAATTCCAAAAGACCAATTGAAGTTATGAAAGAAACAGTCTAATTCATAATTGCTTAAATGACAAAATATGATTAGCATACTAGTCAAAAAGATACCAAAGGTTCATTAAATGGTAAAGATTAGATTCCAATTACTGATGTTGGAGTACCATTACTATATTCTGAAAGACCTTACATATCTAAAACAGAAAAATGATATGAAAAAATGTTTTATAATTATTATTAATATATATATATTCAAATTCTTTTACATTTATCTTAATTATTTAAGAAAATATTTTATTAATTTGAAATTAAAATTAGTTACTCTATTTAAATCAATCTAATAATAATTATATTAAATAAAAGATATTCTAAAATTTAATGATATAAAGGAGAAAATTATATTTAAAATCAAATCAATTTAATTTACAATATTATTTTTTTAATTCATTGAGAATTCTTAATTCTATGTAATTCAATAATTTCTAAATATGCGAAATTATTCTTAATGAAATAATAAAGTCATTTTAAATTAATTTACTTTTTAAACTAATAGTATTTCTTTATTTATTCTAAAAATTTTTTAATATAAATTTATACATAAACTCCTTTTATTTAGCTACTTTCATATATGATATAATTGACAATTTCTTATTGAATATATAATATTTATATGATTTATATCAAACTCATATATTTTTAGATTTTCCCATTTATAAATCTACTAACTGAATATATACATTATTTAGAAGGGTATTGAATTCTTTCTTTTTTTTATATTTCTTATGTCTACTCTTTATTCAACTTTACTTTCTTCACATTTAGTAATATTTCAAAACGTGTTCAATTTTATATTAATTTATATTTCTTTCTTTTTCCAGTTTTTTATTGTTTTTCATCCATAAATTAAATAAATGTAATAATATTCTTTACCTAATTTGAAGAAACATTTTATACCGTCTAAAGTGAATATACAACATACCTTAGATACATCATCATATGTAAAGATATTAAAGCATACCAGTAAAGAAATTAGCTTTGCAAAATATGTTTTAAAAAAATAGCAGGAATTAGAACTAGCTATGAAATAGGTTATACAAAAACCTTAATATAAGAATTAATTTTAAAGAAATTTGACTAAAATATAAGAACAACAGAAAAAATCTCCTTATTTAATTAGAGCATTAAAGAAAAATAGATACAAAACAGAACCAATAGAATAGAAGAAGGAAATAGACTAATTGAAATCAATGGAGATTCCAAACCATAAAAATTTTGGATTTGAAAAATTTTCAATAAATTCATTAGTGAGATAATAATGTAGAGGGATTAGAGTCAGCCCAAATCATAAGCTTTTTACAAGTGTTTAGTGATTTATTAGTTATTGAAATCGTTTGTTTCATAGCTAGTTAAACTTGCAATAAATGGTTTAGTAAATGAGACATACTAAACTTTCTTTTATTTTGGAGATTATTAAGTACTTCTAAATGTTCTACTTTATAATTTTCTCCTTTCAAGTTATTAAAAAAATTAATATTCTTCTCTTTTTAGTCCATTAAATTTTATTTATCCATTCAATTTTCTATTATCTACAACACTTTTTATATTTAATCTTTATATTTCAGTAGTTTTTTCATCACTAGAATTTGGATCAAAATAGATTTCATTAAGTTCTTATTGATGAATATGAAAATCTTTAAATTTTTTGAAATAAAATTATGCTCTATTATGTTTTTATGGAAAATATTTTTATTCAATTTCTAGATTTTATTTTAATTATCTCTAATAAAAATGTTTACTTTTTGAGAGACTATCTTTAAATGCATTCATAATTTCTTAATCTTGTTTTACTAATTCACCTACCTATTACCAATGTTCTTTCTCTAATAATTCTAAATTCTTTTTAATTTGTTAAATTCTTTCACATTTCTTTTTACTATCTTCAAATAATCTATTAAAAACACCTTTTTATTAGAGTTTTGATGTTTAAAGAGTTTATGTTTAAGCTATCTTTTCAACAGATTATTGTTAATGTAAAATTATCAATTAATTAGTCTAACCTAATTAATAACCATAATTTTTATCATGTGATACTCTTAGATCATCTTAATAGTTTGAATTAGAATCCTTAGATTCATTAACTTAAACATATCTTCTTTTAAGATTTGCACTTTTTTAAGAAGAATAAACATCAGAAGATTAATTTCTTTAATTACTTAATTTAAAATGCTTTTATATTGTTCCTTCTCCTTCCATATCATCTATATCTTGTGATAAATGTTTGATTTATTATTTTAAACCTGTTATTTATTTTAGTAATTCATCAACATCTATTAAATCAGTTTAACATTCTACATTATTGTTATCCTTTTTGAAATATCCTTAATCTTCATAAATATTTTCATCATTGTTTTACATTGTATATATTTCTATAGCTTCTGTTAATGTTTTATTTACATTACAAATCATAGTTTAAGTTGATTTATTTTCATAATAAACACTTAAAAATTCTAATGCTTTATTATTTTTTTCAAATTATTCATTTACTTCTTATATAAATTTTAATCCATTATGTTATTATCTAAGTTATTTAAGTTTATCTTTAAAACTAATAGTTGTTTCTCTATTATTATCTTCCAAATTCAATTATTCAGGATTTATTTTAGAATCTATATGTTTAATTGTTTATTATAAACATTTTTAATGATTCTTAACTTTTGCTTTTAGATCTTCAATGGTCACTTTCATTTAAGAATTTTAGCTCTTTAGTTCATAATTAGATAATTAAATTTGTTCTAATTTATTATTTAATTCTATTATCTCCTCTTACTTTGTTTTAATAGCTATCATATTTTTGAGATAGTTATTTTCTAGCTCTAAGAATTGTTATGATGTCAATTTTTCGTAGTCATTCTAACTATATTATTAACTTTTTGCTTTACTATGCATATAATATCAACTCCTTTATATCTCTGCCTTTCTTTATTTGACTCACAATATACCATAATCTTGTAGCATATTTGAGTTGAATTTTCTGTAATTACTATAATTCTTTTGATTTTACATCCAAATATTCCTCTTAATATTATTTCACTATATTAATTTAAACCTGTAATTACATTATTTTTTAAATTAATCAAATTAATGCATAATTTATTAATTTACTCTACTTTCAAATTATTTAATTCTTTCAACTTCCCTTTTTAATTATTCAATTTCATCTAATAAATCTTAATTTTAAAGATTAATAATTCCACAAGCCCTTTCCAAATATACATACATTTGATCTTCAATTCCTTTCTTAAAATATTCTAATTCTCTATCGTAAGCTTTAGTTACCATTAATAATTTATTCACTTCTCTATATCTAATTCCTGATGCTGGCTTTTACTTCTCAAAAACATCATGAAAATAATCATTTCCTTTGATATCTTAAATATATCTCCATATTTTATAAGGATCTTATTCTAATGAAAATACACGATTCATCAAATACTCTACATTCTCCATCATCTTTTACTTTTGCTCAAAGTTTCCAACTATCTATCTCAAATTCTAAACTTCACTTTTCTATTTCTAAACAAATAAATATCTAAATGTATATATCTAATATACATTTCTCTTGTTTTCTTTTCATATTGACTCTTTAAATTAGCTATCTTATTATTTACTAAATCTCTATAACGAGGATCCTCTATATCAGTAACATCACAATAAGAAACCTCATAGTAATCAAAATCATCAGACTTTTTATACATTTGTTCTCTCATATTTTATAAATCTTTCAAATAACCACTAGCTAAATCCAAAAGTTTCTATTCTTTTAATTAAAGTTTTGCCTTAAGACTTGCGATTTCATAATCCTTTTATTGTAATACTACTTTATGTTTTTCTAAATTTGCATCGTTAGAATAATCTTAAGTATTTTACTAAAATGATATTTATTAAACTAAACGTGTTTCTTCTTCATCTGAATTCATAAACCCTTCTTATTCACGATCTCCATGATCTTATCTTTGTTTTATAAGTTTGCTTACAATCTCTTATTATTAAATAATATACTTGGCAAACTGTAGATTCTTTAGGGTTTTGATAGAACTTTCTTAATTGCTAAACATATTGGATTAATATGGTTTTATATTCAACAGGCGTTAAAGTACATGAACAACAATTTCCTAAAAAAACAAATTCAAGTATAGACAATGCAAATTAATGAGTGTGGGATTGTATAATTTAACTTTTAACTTGATCAATATTCTAAAGTATTTCTTTAATTGGTTTAATAAGATTATCCACTTATAATTTAATGTCCATTATAATAATATTATTGAAAATATAAATATTATATATATAATCAGTATCAAACTATACTTCCAACACTTCTTCTTTTATTACGCAATTCATTAATTTATTATATTTCCTTTTTGGCAGTATCTAATTCAACATTTGTTAAAACCAATTATTCTGAACTTTTATTATAAGTTTTATTTAATTATAAAAATTTGCTTCTCCATAATTAAGATTCATTTTAATATAGTGAAACCTATTTTTACTGATTGATCAATTAAAGTTCTAATTTAGTAATCTATTTGTTTAGATTACGAATTTCAATATTTAATTGTTCAATTTTAGTGGACTATTCAATTTATGATAATTTAAATTTATTTTTCATCTCATCATATTCTTTAATTATAATATTTTTTTGTTCCAATATATTATTGAGACTTCTAATTTATTAATTTGATTCTTCATTTTCAGATTGAAATTTAGAATTGAATAAATCTAATATTATTTATATATTTACCTGTGCTATTTGTTAATTATTATTAATCAAAAAGTCTATGATTTTATTCTAGATAAGATATTTTCATCTATAAAAATTAAATCTAATATTCATAATTTTTATTAAATGCTTAGATTTCTAAGAGTTATTCTTATAAATCTTTTAATTAATTGATATATTCATGTTCTTTATCAAAGTTTTTAACTCTCATTTCTTCCATTTGATCAAATAATTATTGATTATCTTTTCTTAAATCACTCACCAATTATTCTAAATAAAACACTTTTAGTACATCTACCTAAGAACTTCTACTATCCAATCTACTTGGATAGCAATCTGGACTCTAATTTAATAATATACTATTACTTGATATTGTTTAGAGACAAAGAAAAAAGGTTATGATTTGATGTGCATGATTAATTAAAAAATATATATATATATAAATATATTGAAATACATAATTTATCTATTAATTATGATTAATAATATAATCATTTTAAACTTAATATAATTAATTATGTGATACATTTTTACATATATATGAATATAATTTATTATTATGGATAATGAATATTTTATAATTATTATTATTTTTTCAATCATTATTTGATACCTGCTCTATCAAAACTTTATTTGACTTATTGAATAAGTGATAGATCATTTTCATATTATTATACTAATTTAGAATTCAAATTAGCTCTAACAATCCATGCATCTTAAGTGGCTTTCAAATTATCTTGAGCATCTTATAAATTGGATTTAGCATCATTGAGTAAATTTGATTTTGCCTTAATTTCAGCTATATTATTATATTATCTCACATACCATCCTTAATTTCAATATTCTCTCTAAAATCTGGTAAGATAACTGTGGATAATACATTTAATTTTTAATCATAGGTAGATAATAATTCTTTATTCATTGCTTCTAATCCTTAAGATGATACAACCAATTATAATCTGCTTTCTAGAAGTGATGTTCTTAATTAATTAAGAAGTTTAGTGACTTTGCTTATCAATTCTTAATTTGCAAAACTAGAAATTAATTATAATTAATTTTTACTTAGATTATGCAATTTCAGCAAGAGCAACAATTAAAGGTTAGAAGAAAACCTTTTATTTACTTAAATGAGTCTTTAATTTATCATTAACTTACACTAAACTATCAGCATTTTTCAAAGATGTTAACATGTTAAGGGCTTCATCAATTGCAGCAGCAGAATCATCATATTCTTATAATTAGGCAGCAGTATTAGCAGCATCTGTTTTAATTTATTAATCTAATTGATTTCTTAAGAGTGTAAGATCTTATTGTTCTTTGATTGCATCATTTAATAATGATTATAATGTGTTTCTAGCTTCTGTAAGATCAGCCAAATCAACTTCATGTTATGCTACTTCTACTTAATATTAAGTGATTTGATTTTCATAAAATTCTTAATCTGCATTGTTGGATAAAAAGTCTTTATTGAATGAGGCATTTTCATCTTCTTTATTTTATGTAATTTCAGATTCAAGATCATTAATAGCATTGATTAAACGAGAATAATCTAATTATTATGATTACTCTTATAATAATGCCATGTTTTTTAATGCTCTAAAAAGTGATGGATGTTATTCCTCAATTGATTTTTGTCTTGGAATTAATTTAATAATTACTTTGTTTGATTATCATTGACTGCAATTGTCATAAGTACCAAAGCAAAGAGGACTATTAATTTCATTTATACAATATATATTAATTAAAAACGACTATTTAATTCATTTATAATGTAGTGTAAAATCATCAATACTAAACAATGGAAATCTGGATTCTAATTCTTAAAATAATAATTATTAACCGGATGTACACTAATTAGGTAAATGCTATGTAACAATTTTATTTTTACTCCCAAAACTAAACCAAATTCAATATGTAATTTATGTCTAATATGTTTAACACTTAAATTAATTGGTATAGTCCATTCTTATTAAAGCATTTCATTAAATTCTGTTTGTAAATTACGATTACTCTAAATACTACTCAATAAATGTTCTAAATATAAACAAATCTTCAAATTCTAATGATGAGATTACATCCAAACTGTTTAACCATCTACTCTCATTATCATTCTCTAAATAAATATTTATTATTACAGTTCCAAATCTCCAAAAATCAGTTAACATAACAAAATTAGCTGTCACTTATATATAAGTATGATTTTATGGTAAATCATTATATTGAAATATTAATTCATCATTCCATTTACCATATATCCTATTATTATCATTTCTCTCATATATATATTTATCTAATTAACTTCTTTTGAAATGTTCATGTTTATAACTAAAATAACTATTTTATTTTAATATCTATCTCAATTTTTCATGATCGTTTTATAAATTTTTACTTTCTTTCTTCCAACCAATATTTTATTCATCTACAATTATTGGTATCCATTATGATTGACCATGAATTTAAATAAAATCAGTTTGAATTGTTTTATGATCAGTACTTTCATCATCATCATCCCTATAGATTTCTTAAAAATTAGCACTTATAAATATTGTATCCTCTCTAGTTTCTTCTATAAAAGCAGATGCTCTAGTATCACTTCTAAATGGACTCAAACTATTTAATTCTAAAACATCTGAACTAAACTCAGTTGGTATATCAATTTCTTCTGTTACTATTCTATCTGCATGAACCTCTTAACATTTTAGTTCCCCTTTTAATATTAATTATTTGCAAACTAGATTTTCTTTTATATCCAATTATTTTATGTCACCATTAACTACTAAAACTAGAATTGTGATAATAAATAATTTCATTTTATTATATTATTCATTTTATATTACATTTTAATAAATAATAAGGAATAAAGAACTATAATCTTTTATTTTAAGAATAATAATAATATATTCAAACTATATGAAATATATTAATATTATAATCAAATATTATTCTAACCCCAAAATTATTTTAATGTTTCTGTTATATCATTTATTAATAATTTTAAGGATTTATAATCTCCTTTATTATTTTCTAATTTTTATATTTAAGATAAATCTTATTTTAATTGATTTTCTCTTTTTTCATCTACTTTATATTTTTTAGATTATATCTATTCATTAGCCATAAATTTCTTTTTGAAATATTTAACTTCTAATTTTAATAATTCTGTTTTTTCATCATATGATGCATCATATAATTAACTCCAATTAATAATCTCTTAAAATTTATCTGGGTTATTTAAAATATAATCAAAAAAGCTTTCTTTAAATTATTCTATTAAATCCTATTGATAACTATATTACTTGATAAACTCAATCAAAAACTATTATAATTCTTAATTTAATTAATTATTCACTAATTCTATGCTATGTAGAATAGAAGGATTGATTTTCAAATTTTAAAATTCTTCCATATTAAGTTAATATCTATTTCTATCTATTAATTCATTATTGTTTAATTCATAACTTATAGTACAATTATCTAAGTCTCTTAAGAAAAATGTATAATCCTCTTAAATTTTAAGTTTTTCTCTAATTTTTATTTGCACTTTTTCAACATTCTTTCTCCTTAATTTAGTTTCTTCATTGTTTTTCTAACCATTTGGTCCTGTTATTGTTAATAACTTATAAGAAGCAAACGAAGAGATTATTTCTAACAATTTCAATGCCAATTCATTTGTTGCAATATAATTATCATCTAATAATATATCTTCTTAGTTATCCTAATTCTCTTTTTATGGTCTACCACGTCCATTACTTTTATTTCTACTCATTAGAATTATTTTTATTTTTTTTTAAATATTTATGATATGAACCTAATACTATATAATTTATATTCTATTAATAATTATTGAATTATTTAAACATATATTAATTAATAATTAATCATATATCAATTTATTTATTTGTTAATTACTATTAAAATAATTACATCATGTTTTATATGATATCAATTTCAATTGATTTATTCATAATTGATATTGAATATGTTTTTGAATTTGCTACTTTTCTTGGGGTGTATATTAAAACACCAATTTAACTATATGATTTTTTAATTTAATCATTAATCTAATTTAATTACTAATCTTTTTTAATGATTTTATTATATACTCTGTTAAGCCTAACTTAATTACCATCAATTATAATATTGTGTAATCTTTTTAATGCAAATATTGGAAATATAATTAATTCGATATTATTTTAATCTACCTTTAAAATAGTTATCTATGATAATAAACTATTTTATAAACCTCTTAAACTCTTTATTAATAGTTTCATTTTTCATCATCATCATCACATTTTATAAATATTCAATATAATTTATTTATCATTAACAACAACTAAAATCTATTCTTAAAATATTAGATAAATAATAATACTCTTTTTAATTGCTACAATTACATACTTATTTATATTAATGATATCTAATCAAATATGAAAATAATCAATTATTATTAAGTTTTTATGTATATAAAATTAGAATCAATTAAATATGATTTTGAAACCGTTTTATTAGTTACAATAAATTAAATTTATAAGTGTCATTTCATTTTGAATATCTATTTTGTTAATCAAATAAAAAAATTTATATTAGTGAATGTTCTTTTATTTTTAGATTCTATTTGGTAATCAATAACTTTGTTTTGAGTAAATTATAAATTATAAATTAATAACATTAAATTAATTAAATTTTATATTCATTCTGGATTGTCAAAATAATTAGTAATTATTCTTTAACGATAGGTGAAGAAGAGTAATGGATCTATATTCAATTTAAATTCTAATAAGAAAACCAAGACTCTTTCCAAATGGTTGAATTCTTCATGTGAAATTCCAGCTACTTTTGCATAATATGAATTTTGAAAGAATCTATCATCATAAAATTTAGCAGATAACATGACTGCTACAACATATAATCTTATATTAATTATAAATATAATACCTATGAACATTAATTGATTTTAATATAATTCTTCCCCATTTTTATGATAATTTATCAATCAATATTAAACCCATTATTAAACATTCCTATGAACATTAAGCTTATTTTAAGATTCTACAGATATAATCATAAATAGAAATTGAGGGAATCTTAGAACTATTAAAAGATTCAAGTTCTTAAATATTATTAGCATCATTGTCACCTTCTTCACATAAATCCATAAGCAAATAAGCCATTGCACTTGACAATTATTTATTATCAGCAATTTGCTAATTGTATAATTCATGTTATTATTCATAGGTCAATTCTGTTGTTGATACTAAGCCTTGCATTTAAGTATTTATTATATATTATTATTCAATATTTAATTATGTGATTATTAATTCTCTTTAATAAAGTATTTTATATGTACACACTTCCATATTCTACATATATCTACTTTTTTTGTTGTCCACTGATTTTGTAAGATTTTCTAGCTGTTATATTTTAATTTAAATGTTTTATTTAGGCTATTACATTTTATCATCAATTTATTCAATACTTAAATTTATATATTTATTTTAATAAACATAATGCATTCATGATAGACATCTAAATAATTACAATAAAATTAATTATTACATATTACTTAATATCAAAACTATTTGATCATCAACATCCTTATCATAATAACAACTATTTAAGGAAATTCTTAAATTTTGTATTTATTGCTAATATATCAAATAAATAAAATTAATAAAATAAAAATCAAAAATTAATCTATTATCAGTTCTTTATCTTATTCATTCTCTTGAATTAGTTGTAATTATTATTGAAGTAAACTTATATATAATTCTACTATTAAAATTTAATTATAATCTTAATTTATAAGTTAACTTAACTTATATTATATTTAAGTCTTGATAAACTGTATTCTTACTCATTAAAGTTTCACAAATTACTCTTAAATTAGTGATTTTATTTTATTTATTTAATCTTTAGATAGATATATTTGATCTTTAACACTTATTTATTTATTTAACTTCAATTTAAAACAAACTATTTAACAATTATTCAAAATAAAAGACTAATTTTATTGTTTATTTTAATTTTGATATTTCCTTATGTTTCAATATTAAATTTAAACAAAAATCTCTTAGTTTAATCAAATAGAACTTACATCATAATTCTTATTTAAATCTTGTAAAGATATTTGAAATACATAATAGTCTGTTTATAATGAATATAAAGCATATATCATAATTTGGTATTTCTCTTTAAATATATCTACTTGAAAAAGATGATAAATTTAAAAATTATTATAAAGTATGTTACTTTATTGAATCAAAAAGAATCTATTATTTGGATAATAATGCTTTAGTAATTTAGGTATTCCTATTTATTCTAATCATTTATTTAATGGAGACTCATAATTTAATTTTACATAATTTATTAATGTATAAACTATTTTGAAAAAATATATAAATTCAAAAGAGTGTAGAGAAGTAAAAGAAGGGAATGATTATTTGGATTATTGATAATATTGATTCTAATTTGAAGATTAAAGAATAAAAAATTTATATCTTTTAATTAAAAAAAATATATTATGGCAGACGTTCAATCATAAAGAGCATTCTAAAAATAAGAAGGCATTTTCTAAAACTCAAAGAAACTCTTAGCTAAAAAGACATCAAAAGGTGTTAGATATTGGAAAGAAGTTGGTTTGGGTTTCAAAGTACCAAAGGAAGCAATTGAGGGAAATTTCATTGATAAGAAATGTCCATTCACAGGAAATGTTAGTGTTAGAGGAGCAATATTAAAGTACAATCAAAAACGAATAAATTATAGAGGAATTGTGATTTCTACAAAGATGACAAGAACCATTATCATTAGAAGAGATTATTTGCACTATGTTGCCAAATATAATAGATATGAAAAGAGACATAGAAATGTACCTGTACACATTTCACCAGCATTTGGTCCTGTTAAAGAAGGAGATATTGTTGTTTGTGGATAATGCAGGTATTAATGATTTAATATTAAGACCATTGTCAAAGACTGTCAGATTCAATGTTTTGAAAGTAATTCCAAATGAAATCATTGGTAATGTTAGAAAGCAATTTGTTTTGTTCTGATTTGCATGGATATCTATATAGTACAATATCAAAATAATTTATGCATTTAATTTAATATTATATATTAATTATGGACGACATGAATAATTACGATGAGTTTGGAAATTACATAGGACCAGAAATAGATTCAGATGAAGAAGATAATGTGTAGATTGAAGAAGAATAGATAGCTGAAAATGACCAAGAACATGTAATAGCAAATGTAATAAAATGCTTCTATCTTTGAAGAGAGTGTATATACCTAATCAATAAGTTGCAGTAATTCTTAATGAAGACAAACAATACTATCCAGATGCTTAACAAGTATATGGTCGAGATGTTGAAATCAATGTTTAAGAAGAGGATGCTTAACCAATAACTTAGCCTATGATTGCTCCACTAAAATCAAAGGAATTTGATATCTAAGAGACATAGATACCTCAAACTACTTTCGACTATGAGTTTCTATGTCGTATTTCTAAGAATCCTGCGTTGGTAAGAAATGTTGCAATTGTAGGCGGTCTGCATCATGGTAAGACATCAATGATGGACGTCTTTGTTAAACAAACTCATCTTAAGCAATTTAGTTTGTAGAAAGATATCCGTTATACTGATACTCGTCAAGATGAATAATAGAGATTGATCTCTATCAAAGCAATCCCTATGAGTTTATTATTGCCCAATAGCAAAGATAAGTCATATTTAGTAAATCTATATGATACTCCTGGACATGTAAATTTTATGGATGAAGTGTGTTGTGCTTTAAGAGCTAGTGATGCCATGTTGCTTACTATTGATGTAGTTGAAGGAGTAATGATGACTACTGAAATGCTTAT